CGCGCGCGCGCGCCTGGACACTGCACGGTGCAAAACACAACAGCAAGCGGATTTTTGAACGCAAAAAGAAATACCGTCAGAACCTCTCTAAAAACACAGACCGCTCTTCCGTTTGGAGACTCTGTGGTGATAGAAGCCCAGCCAGCAGCTAGAACACATGGTTCAGTCCTAGGACACACAGCTGCTGGCATGAGAGATAGGATCTTTCAAGACAACTGGGTCGTTCCACTGCTGGTGCTACGATGTCAATGAACAAATCGACAAGAAACAGCGTTGTGATCGACCGCTAATGCAGCGTCCACTTCTGTGCCCAAAGACAGAATGGCCTACCTCCCGCGTTGCAGGGTGAAAAGGCACGTCGGCTTCCTGGCGAAATGTCTTCGGTTGCTCGAGAGCTGGCAGCTGATCGATGTCTGCAAGTTCGGACGCCGAAGCCTCAGACAGCCCGGGGAGGCCGGCTGTGGACAGAGGAGTCTGCAGAGCATGGCTGGTATCAAGTTTGCACCGACGAACTTTGGGGATGCCCTCTCAAAGGTCATGCTGGCTGCGATCTTTAGTGGAGGACACTCTTGACATCTCTTGACATGGGGAAACCCAAAACCCTGCCCTGCCGACGACTGGAAACTACCATGCTGTGGTGGAAGTCCAACTGCTGCATCTAGGCCACCCTTCGCTGTGGTACGCCGGATACACGCGCAACAGCTCCTGGACTTTGTTCTGGAATCCTGGCTTCAGCACGAGCGGCTGTCCAAGAACAAAAGAGACCGTCCACCAAAACACGCAAAGAACGAACACTCTGGGATGAACATCTTTGGAGATTCTCCTTCTCGTGGATCGCATTTCCTGCCCACGATCTCGTCGCCAAACAAGTGGAACTGGCAGTCCTAGCCAAAAAATGAAAATGCATCCAACTCAAGTCTAGCATCTCGATGAGTTTGAATCGAGACAAGGGATTGCTGATGTGGTGCTAGTTCTGCTAGCCCTAGCCATGTGCCCTCTTCTCCCTTTGGTTCCATGATGTCCCATGTGACCCATGCTTTGTGTTAATCAGTTCATCACAGCAGCGTTTTCACTGAGACCCAGACCTGAAGAGCCGCCTCAGGCGGGTCCAGGTCCGCACCTGGAAACCGACTCGTGGCTTGTGTTCATGGGGGCGCAGAAATCTTCGGACCAGGGCGGCTGGCTTGGAGCTTGGAGTCGGGTGCATTGATGTGGGTTGCACTCCTTTTTGAATAAGCTTCACACTAGCGATCTGTTATGAGGAAGCTTGGTAGACAAGTGGCAAGGATCTAGAAGTGGAGCAGTCGAACGAACGTGCAAGGCAGAGCTACACATATCCCTCACGAGCAAACCGTAACACTGCGCTTTTGCGATGCTGACACAGACGTGGATCGGGTACGAGAGTTCAACGGGGCGCCTAGGCATGTGGTCTTTGCTGACATCACTTGGCCTTTCAGTTCTGAAGACTCTCGCTTGACGATCTGCTACAAGTAGGAAATACTGGACAGCAGCCCAAGCCCAAAGGGGTCTAAAGTCTAAATGTATAAATTAGGTATAAACACTTGACAATGCCTGCATCTGGCGCCAACCGGCTGCAGCTTGATCTGTTAAGCGCTGAAAGCATGGTGCTCGCCAAATGTCCCAGCGTGTTTCGGCTAGGCCGTGGCTGAATGCAATGGTGAAGGTCAGGTGCTGGTGTGCACGGATGAGATTTTCGTATAAGCATCACTTGTCGAAAATTGAATCTCTGAATCTAATGGTCGATCAATCTCTGTCAGACAAAGCTCCGAACAGCTGACGGCAAGAAGCGCACAAGAAGCACAAAAATTACATGAATTTCCGTATCCTTTCGATATTGGCAATTCGGCCAAGCAGGGATTCTGACATGGCCCAAGTCCTCAACCCAGAAGCCTGGAACAGGAGCGGACAGAGCGGACAGAGTTCAGGGTTCAGGACCGGGGTTGTCCAGCCTGAGGGTGCATGTTTAGGGAATGTCCTGGAATTAGCGGGTAGCCACACGGCAGAAGGACCAGAAATACTGCATGAGGGGGTGGCGCATAGACTCACCCACACAGACGCACACACACACAC